TTGCACAACAAGTCTACCAACAATGCAGTAAATAGTAGGAAGTAAYATTTAAACTCACTTTGCATGTGCATCAATGAGACGGTGGTATTCTCTTCATGCTGGAGCTTTCACTTTTGATTTTAAGTGAAAGAATTTTACCTCAACGATAAAAATTTTATCAAATTGTGGAATGGAACTGATGTTGTCTCCTGCTAATCGTTTATATTCACATATTTCACCAGCAGTTTAAAATGCTCATGCTTATGTATTTTTACATGATATTTAACTGCGTTAATGGGCTTTATCATGTGTTAGTATATTTTTTTTCTGCCTCTTTTTACCAAAATTCCAATTTATTTTTAGGTCAAATAAAAAAAATCTTATTTTTAAATTTTTTTGAATCACCTATAAGTATATATTTGTGTATTCACTACTTCCTCTCTGGTGTTTGCACAGCTTTAATGTTTGTTAGCATATCTGTAAAGGTTCTGACTATGTTTCATTATAAACCAACTGCAATGTTTTGATTTCCCCCACATTCACCAATCTGAAAACCAATCCTCGCAGAGTAGCTGCCTACAAGGTGGAAAACAATGAGGACTAATTACTTTGTGAAACAGAATCCTTGTTTATCTCATTTCCACGGCCCAACAGGCCTGCAAACCCATTTATAGATGAGCTGTGTGCTGTAGTGTTGTGACACAGCGCCTCCTGCTGGTCAAACCTCAGAACTTCACWGAAGAAACTGTTGTCACCAGAGGATTTGTGTGTGAATGAGATTTATGGGTTATGTATGGAACTGAGAGGTGTCAAAAATATTCCTATTCATTACTAGAGTAGAAGTATAGCTATTAGGGTTTAAAAAACTTTTTTTAGAAGTTATCTTCTCAAGGTTTTTTTCAAGTAAAAGAGTAAAATACTTGTTTTAAAACTTCCTAAAGTATAAAAGTGATGTAAAGAGGAAAGAAAGCCACAGGGGCCTATAGAGCACTTTGGGATGCACTAGTTCCCCTGTTTGAGCTGGATAAATATCTCTGCCACAGGCATCTGATTTGTCCTGTTGCAGTGTGACAGGTTTTATGTAACGTGCATGTGATGGATCATACCTGCACATGACACAATTTATTTTTTGAATAATTAAGTTGATATAAAAAGACTTGAAATACATTTGGCATTTTTCAAATTTAAGGAATAGAAAGTACAGAAAACTGCATGAAAATGTAAGCAGTAGAATTAAAACATTGAAAAAATACTAACTCCAAATTCAACAATTCTAAATTCAATGTTTCATTTCTTAGCGTGTGAAAATACTTTTACTTTCCCCAGTTCTTGTGAGCGGTTTTATGACTTTTACTTCAGTATTTTTGCCGAAGTCATTTTCTGTTACAGTATTTTTAATTTTACTTAGTTGTTTTTCAAGTACTTGATAAACCTCTGGTGTATAAAAATAATTAACAAGATGAATTCCTTCAAAGAATGTTTTCATTTTTTTAGTGACCGCAACAATCTCCGTGTTCATATGATAATGTTCTTTTAATGTTTTAATTTCATATTTCTGAGCCTTAAATTTGTCATCAATGTTAAATAAGTTGAGCAGAACATTTTCTGTTAATTTCATTAAAAAGTTGAGACTCTCTGAAGTTAACCCTGTGATCCCCAGACTTATATGACAAAAAAGAACCTTAATTTCATCATTGTGTAGTTTGTTTGTGTAAATATTCAAAGATGAGTAGACAAAGTGAGCATACACTGACGTGTTTAATAAAGTTGACAGTTTATACTGTTCGGGACTTCACAGAAGAACAAATTCTATGAAAGAGTTGTTTACTTCATTTTATACAGAATAGGAGAAGAAGAAAACTAAAATTACACATTAAAAGCCAATATTTGTACTTTCTGTTTTTTTCTGTGTGTAGAATACAAATTTTGTACAACAACATCTATAGCATAGTATCTCGTTTAATAAAAATGTTCACTTGAATAATTGTTGTTGGTTGAAAATAAAATAACACATTCAAGCGAAACGAAAATGCAGATTAACTTAAAATCTATTTCAGTTTTTAAACAAATAATTTCATCATTGGCAACAAAGTCCAGCTTGTGCCGCCAAACAGTTTGAGCGCTCAAACCGAAAACAGCTGTTTTTATTTTTATTTTTTCAGTTAAGTGAACTATCAGCTACAAACACTTACCAAACATTTAGTTGTTTCTTTTTTTTTCTTATTTTTTATATAAAAGCCATGAAGCAAAGCAGTGTACTCTTGCACAGCAAAGTGAAGAAAGTCCTCTACAGAGGTTCATTGATTAGCCTTTCCTTTCACATTCATCAGTTGTGCACAATTTGGACGTGGACCAACAGAGCAAAGTGTATCGCCGTGCATTCACCATGCATTGTCTTGTGTGGGTTTATTCTGAGAGGAGGCGGGTCTGCTCAAGCCTGAATGACGTCTGACTTGTTTCTTTTATGAGAGAAAATAAATAACGATGCAATTTCTCTTTGGGATAAGGCATTTCCTAACTGTGCATATCGACAGAGCAACTACAAAATTCCCTGATATGTTACCAAGTGCTAAAACGTGTGCTCAACTACGAGGTGATGCCGAGAAAAGGCTGAGAATTGTCCTTTTTGTTGTCTTCAAAGTTGTTTTTTTTATTGCTTTTTCTCCCCCCTCCCCCTGCTGCGTTCAACTGGATTACAACAAGGACTGCACGTTATGTAGAATGTTTGGCAATAAATTTAGATGAATGTGAGGACGTGGCCTGAACAAATCCATGAACATAAAATAAAATAAAATAAAATAGTACAGCAGCTTCCAGCGGTGGCACTTCAGGATGAGAGGATAACAGTCTGACTCTCTTTCTCCCAACGGTTTAATGTTTTAAATGACATCATTTTGTTATCTTTGCTTGACATGAACTGGGGTTGATTCTGCATAGATCCATCCATATTGGTGTAAACTTTTCGATGATGGTGTGCGTTCGTGTGCTGGGAGGGCGGGTGGCATTAATTTACACACACAAGATATGCTGTGGCGAATGCAGAGCAATAGATGTCTCGTACAGCAAACTTCTCATACAAAACGTGTGCCTCTCAGCAGTAAAAGTGAAGTCAGAGACGAACGGTTAATGGCTGTTAGGATGGGCACATAAAACGGTCACAACACCCCCACTTTTACCTCCCCCCTCCACTTTACAGTGTAATGACCCAGGCATCAAGTTGACTTCAAAACCTTCAATGACTCTCACTTTCCTGGCTCCTAAAGCTCCTACTGCAGGGCTACAGTACTCTTAACTACAGGGGCCATGAATGTTTGATCCAATGTCTGGAGCCAATTMACATAAATATGTGTAGCTTATGTTATTTACAACCACAAAAAAGGATGGTAAACCACTTTCTTCTTCAATTATCTTATGTTTAAATTCCATGAGCCAATAGCAGGATAATGTAAAGGGCTTTATGAACAATTAATATCTTACCTGTTGTAGATAGCACTTTGAATGACCYCATTTTAGAGACATAGCCTACATAGTAAAATTGTCTGGTCCAGTTCTGGCCCACACAACGCACTAACATTCTGCCCAGAGAATTATGACCCTTTGATGGGTCACATGTGGTTTGGCAGAGGTGGACCATGCGTGGGCCAGCACCACGTAAACCAAACCAAAACTGGACCAGCTGTGGCACTGACAGATTTGTGTCACATAAACCAAGCCATGACTGGTCCAGTTGTGGCACTGACAGATCTGGGCCGCATAAACCAAACCACATCCGGGCCAGTTGTGCCATGCCATCTTAAAAACAGTGCCAGACCTGGTCCACATCTGTTTTATAAACCACTTATGCCAGCAGTGCCAGCTTGACACCACATCTGGCCCACAGCTGTCTGCTATGTGGGAGGTTGGTCTTAGTGCAGCCAAGACCAAAGTGAATTACTGATCTATGATACAATCTCAAAATGTTCACAGTCATTCATACAAACACTCAGACTAGCCATTAGCTCATCAGTTTGGTTGAGATTAAACTATTATTTTTGAGGACATTCAAAAAGTCATCTACAACAAGTAAGATATTAACTTTTCGTAATGTTTCCACAAAATCCCGCAGCCAAAGCTCTTCATTATCTAATTAAAAGTATTAACAATATATTATTCTATAAACAATGTCGGGGTTGGATCTTGGTTTTAAAACGAAGGCAGTAATTTCAGCACCTGGTGGTGTAAACCTGGTGATGTTTCTCTTAACCTTGTGGTAATCCTTCAAAAACAAAAAATGTGGTGAAAATTTAACCACGTAGCGCCTTTTTTTTTACTGACGTCTTTGAGACAGACGATCACTGCCAACCAAAAACAAAACAAATCAACAATCCAGAACACAACAATGTGGGAGGAACGCTGAACAATTTCAAATGGACCAAGAAGAAAATGTAAAGTATTGACCAGTGAATATTTGTTTAAGGGTCCGCTCCTGTAAACTTGGCTGTAAACCACAAAAATACAATTTTTTTCCTTCTTTCTCGAAAAGGGCGGTGCATACATTGTGTACGGCGAGTACTCGCACCACTTCTAAAATATATTAAAAGTTGCTCTATTTACACAACAAAAGACGAGGTTTGGCTCAAATTTTCTATTGTACAAACAGAACAGCACATGTCCATGGCTTTAGATATCGATTCAAGATTCTGTTCACTGGATTTCTACACTGTAAATAAGCACAATGATGATGATGATAATAATAATAATAATAATAATAATAATTAAACGTAAAATTAAAAACATGAAAAAGAAAGAGGCTGCATTTGAGTGAACTATAACTGCACAAAACAACACAAGAAAGAAAAAAACAGCTTTGGCTTATTTTACTGACGGGGCGGTTAAAGAAACATGAACATGTTGACTTTCTTAGCAGCTCGACTAGACAGGTGTGCATTACCTTAACTTTGTTTTTATACAACTTACTCCATTTAAATTCTAAAATGACTCATCCTTATTGCAGTGAACCTTGATACTGTTATTTTTTTTTACCTCCCACATTATTGTTTCATGTGTTTTATGTGTGTCATATTAAAGTTGCTGGACTCTTTGTGCTTTGTGTCTCTTGAGTGAAAGTCTCGAATAAATTAAAAAGAGGCCTCGTCAGACAAAAAAAAAATAAAAGGTTTTGTGTGGTTACAGCATCGTTTCAAAGATAGTTCCAGCAGTGGATATCTGTGTAAAGTAATTATAGAGTTGTCTTAGCCTGAAAGCAAAACATTTTTTTCTCTGATTGTTTGCAAACTTGCAAGCACGACAGCAAAAACAGCAACTACATGTAAGTGTCTGAGCAGACGTGCGACTACAATAATCTACCGTCTTATAGTTTAACGCCACCTGAATTGCACCAAGTACCTGATATCACCTGCTTGTGCACAAATTCAGTCCAGCTTACTGATTTTTATGCTTTTTTTAAAACTTACTGAATGAGAATTTACTTAGATATGTCTGACACCTGATAATGTTATGATTCAGTCTTAAAAACTGAAGTGGGTTGAATAATTGTATAATATTGACAGCTCTAAGGACCTTTTATTCCTTGTTTTTTTTTTAAATCCCTCCTTCTCTCTGTCTGGCTGGTGACTGAAGACTGGACCGGGCCTCCTTATGTCACCCACGTGTCCATGCGCAAGCGCTTGACCGATGGGCTCTCCCTGTCTTCAGCACCGGCAGGGGGTCTTCCGAGTCCTAGCGGGGAGTGGAAGTCTGGCCGGTGGTCCTCGCGGTCGCTGCCGTCGTATGAGCTACAAGACGAGCTGAGGCTGTCGGCGGGCGATCGTCCCAGAACCTCCTGTCGGCTGGACCCTTGCTGCGGCTGATGCGGTGGGAAGCCAGACGGGGTGACGCGCTCCCGGGGTGGTGAGATGGGTTCAGACTTGATGTTTATGTTCTGGCTGGTGCTGATGGATAGGTTGGAGCCCTGAGGTAGGTGACCTCCACCGCTGCAGCAGAGATAAGCAGGACACCATGTGTTTAGTAAAAAGAAAAAGAAGAAGAAATGAAGAAAAATTGCAGTGAAAATGCCGGGAATATGTAAATGTGTGATTCAGTGCAACATCAGAGCATTGCGGGTACTGTTTTTTTTTTATGTGGGGGCGTCTGGAGAGTGTGCCTTTGTTTGTAAGTGTGTTACTCACACCAAAGAATTAAGAGCTGCCTGGCCCAGTTGATGCTGTTGCCATGCCGACATGGAGCCCAGCGAGAGCCCGGGAGAGCTGAAGCCCTGTAGGGAGGAGATCTCTGCGCTGCTCAGCGAGTAGTCTGTGAAAACAAACGCAGCCACGCACACACTGAGAACACACTCACCTCTCGTCTCTCAACACTGTAAGCTACTGAACCAACAACGTGCGCTACAAACGGTCCTGGCTGAGGGAGTTTGGGTTCTGTCTGCTGGGAGGGGGGCAGTAGGGCCAGACTCACCAGCAGGATTGTAGGAGGTGGGCATGCCTGAGTAGACCAAGCCCTGAGGGGGCAAGCTGGGGGTGGTAACAGACACAACAGGAGTGGCGAGCGGCTGGTTGGACTGGGAGCTGTTTATCCTCTGGGTGTTCTGCACAACAAACAGTTACAAAACGAACAAAAACAGAGAGAAACATAAAAGTCTCTGACAACAGTGTGAGTGTTTTCTTATGATACTAAAAGGGTAATCCCTGAGCTCCAAATGTATTTCAACCTGTTTTATGGAAGAGATAATCAACCACTAGGTGGCAGTGCAGCCTTATAAATAAATATAACCAGATTTAACTTATTTCATTTATATCAATAATGACCACACAGTATGGATAAAAAAACATATTTTATTAAGTGTTTTTATATATAATTTTATATTATTGTTTGTCTGGATACATAAATATATATATATAAAAATAAACTGCACACTGCTTATGATTTCACCTTATTCAGCATAAAAAGGTTTTTCTTAGCATATAAACTGTTTTCTGGACAGCCATAATATAAAACAATAAACTTTTCTCTTTAGTTAAAAGACGGGGATAAAACAAATATAGACTCACATATGCTTAATGTTTTCTATCTTTTTAAACATAGTAAAAAAAAGAATAAGGTCTGAAGACAGAGATGAGTTTTAAACTCACATAAAACTCAGACAAGATGGTGCACTAAAATAACATTAATGGCACATTTCCATAGCTAGCCTGACACACAGCAGAGCTCCGGTGGTTTTTAGTGTAGTAACTGGCATGCGTCCGCACAAACACACCTACACATGTTGCTGTGGTCATGCAGTAAACTTGGCTGTGGCGCTACAAATGGCCTAATAATCAAAACCAGACACAGTGAAGTTCAGAACAATGCTATGACAAGTCCTCCGTGTGTAATATAACAAACATACACGCAGCTGCCAGCGGTTACGTTTCGAGCTGTATTGCATCATAATGTCAATGGCTTCCTTGAATTGTTCCAACACTATTCAGCCAAATGACTTCACCAAAACCAAGTATCTCACAGAGTGATTTCATTTGAAATGACGTAATCTTCAGTTCCCCGGAAAAGAAGAAGAAAAGAAAAAAAAAACATCACTGATTTATATTTTACTCATTGCTCTTAAATTGTTTAACATCAATCCAGGACTGCAAGTTAGTGGAACAGTTTCAAAAGAGCGAAGCCTTGACTTGATCTCTCTAACACACGCTGACACTCCTGGTTAAATGAGTCACATTCACATGTTAGGAGAAGAGAAGCCAGTTGAAAAAGTCTAAAAGACAATTGTTGCAGGCCAAACCCAAAGCATGCTGTGACAAAACCAGTTTATTATTATTATTTTTTATTATTTCTTATTGCTAGCTGTTTCCACTTTGAGCACTGCCTTTAGGTGAGCGTCTAATTACTGGAAGTAGGTTCACACTTCAGCCATTTGCCCAGGCATTTGTCAAACTCACCAAATCCATTTCTTCCTCCTCCGACTACCCTCAACAGAAGGAAAGCAGAGAGTTACAGAAAAGAAGCAGAACTCTGGTAAACTGCTCTGGGGGTAAAAGTGATAGCTATTAAGATTTTATGGTAAAAGGAACAACAATGAATATAAAACTGCTGATGAGTTCTTGATTAGTAAAACCCGTACTCATTTTAAACTGAACAGAGGTGATCTGGTAACTTTTTCTGAAACAATTTCAAAGCGTTTGCCTAACAACAATATGTGGATATTAAATGTTGAGGCTGTTTGGTGAAATTTAAAATAAGAAACTATTAGAAACTAACTTGAGAAAGAAACAGGATATAGGGTAAAATTGCGAGTCTGCTGCTGCTGACAGCTACAAGAAATTTCAGAAAGAATTTCTTTTATAAATGACAACACAGTTCTGAAGAGGACAGAGAAGCACATCTTACATCTTTCCTTTGCTGTGGGATATAATGCGACCGGGCCAAGGCTCCTAATACTCATACTCAATCAATAGATGTAGGAAGACACGACAAGGGCGACAAGATATTATCTGGCTCACACCCTGGGCCCCTGATTAAGTCTTCATCTACACTCTGTCACACTGAGATGTGATTAATTTAATACCATTATGGCCTAATGACAGGCTGTCTGCAGACCTGCCACAGCCAGCACCCTCCACCGCCTCTGCAGCTCCAAGACGCCTCAGACAGAAATGAAGCAACCTCCAGCTGCTGCCGAAGAACTCCAACAACAAGCCGATCCTGTTTTCTACACAGGATCTTTGGTGAAGGCAAAAACAGCACAAATTCCAAAATAAATGTCTTCGAAAGGGCAATAAAATATTGTGTTTTACATTTAGCAGTGCTCCTCAATCTTGGTTCTCGAGGACCACTATCCTGCAAGTTTTACATATTTTTCCTGCCTTCATTCAAAATCCACTTTTAGCCATGAAATGGATTCTTGGAGTCTCTATGAGTGCAGAAAAGTTTAATTTAGTTTCTCCCGGTGCTGCGTGGATATTTTTATATTCTGTTTTGGCCATACTTTTCAACTTTTTTTTCTATTTTCTATAATGTTTCTAAACTATTACGTCACAGTATTTGCAACAGAACTGACAAGTAAGATCTGGACGTACCAGCTACAAAACTTCATTCTCCTCTGGCTCTGGGTCAGACTCTGGCTCCAACATGTGATCTGGATGGACGAGTCTTCCCTTGTTGACATCTTGTAATTCATTTGTAAATAAAAAATTTCTGTGCCACTATGTAGTCGTAAAGCCTTCTATCAAACTGGAAGGTTGAGTGAGGAAGGGTGTGAAGTACCTAATTTGGATTTAAAGGGACAGCCTCAAAGCGAATCGATCTGAGAAACACCTTGGAAAAGGGGTGAAAGAGGGGCTTGTGGAGTTGCAGTAAGGAGGAATCCAGACCAAAGCAGTGCAGTTCCACTTTATATAGACCCCAAATGAATAATGTAAATGTGAAAAAAATGGATTTAATAGCAGGATATGTTTCCTTTAACACATCTGATTTAAATAAATGAGTGATTAACAGGCTTCTGCAGAACTTAATGACCTGCTAAAAGAGCAGGGAAACAACTAAAACCTGCAGAATAATGACTGTGACAAACCAGGATAGAGAACCACTGGTATGGAGTCATCCTGTATTGTATTTATTATATGGTATGGTATGGTATGGTATGGTATGGTATGGTATATGATATGGTAATATATCATATCATATTCAGACATGACTCTATGTAATTATTCAATTATTTCTCCAAAGATGAATGAGGATGAACAAATGAGAAGTACAACATGTAACCTGAGGTTTTTCCACTGTCTGTTATTGGATCACTTTCAACACGCAAAGCTAGAAATTTTAAATGTGCATGCAGTCTCCTTTAGCCCCAGGTCTTTGCTATGTTGAGGGTGTGGTGCAATGTCATATTGGTAATTAAAAAAAAGCTTCCCACTTAAAAAGAAAAAAATAAATAAAAAAGTTGGAAAAGTTTCTTGAGATTCTTGGCTCGGTTCACAAATTTAATGGAGGTGATTAACGTGGAACGCGGTGCATAAGATAAGAGAGTTCACATGTACCAATAAACAAAGTCCTCAGTGAGGTAACAACTTCACCGTTTTAAGCCAATATAGTAGCATCTAAGACTTTTGCAGGCAAACAATTCTGCAAAAACAAAACGCTCTGCTGTTCGGTCCTCAGGCTGGTGATATTTGTGTGCAGTGGTGTGCTCTTTACTCACCAGTGGGGGCATCATCCCTTTGCTTGATGGAGGGATAACAACCCTTAGGTCTGGTTTGCGGGTTCCCATTCCCATGTTCCCTCCAGGAGGCGGTGGAGACTTGGTAGGCATGACTTTACCCAGGCCGTTGCCGCTGGCTGTGCTGAGGAGGCCCGGCGAGCCCCTGGGGTTAACAAAACCGTTCCCTGCAGAGATGCACGGCAACAGAAACACATCATCAACCCGTGGACTGTGACTGACACACTCCCAAGTCATCAAAAGAAAACCTCTCACACCGTGCTGTTTTCCAGCTTGCTGCAGCACGCAGCGTTAAGTGTTTCCAACCCTCTGGGAAGTTTTAATCGACTCAGATAATTATCCTGCGCATTTACAAAAATAAAATGTCCATTTTAAAATTGATGAGCCTTTTATTTTTATTGTGAATGAGTACATCAAAGCCAGTTCGTTGCATCTCGGGAAGAGGAGCAGTTCACTGACAAATGTGCCGTGACTGCTTAAAAGAAACAACTAGGGCCATTACGAGTGGAAAAAGTGCAATAAAACGTTGCGATATGTTGTTGTTTTTTTCACATAAACAATAGAAAAGTGTCAAACTCTCCTATCAAGATTCACACCTTTGTGCTCATGGTCATTAGTCATTTCCTTTTTTTATCAGTCTTTAGAAAAGTATGAATCCAAACAACATATTTTAAGATCTCTCAATCCATTACACAACAGCTGAGTCTCCTGACGATGATTGTTATCAGAGGGTGTGGACAGATCATTGAAATTCAGCAAGAAAGTTGAGAAATATTTTTCACAGAGCTGTAAGTGTTACAGGCCGACAGTTGTTAAGACTTCTGTCTGAGAAAATTTATACCACAGTTTTTCTGATACTGTTGCATGTAACGAGCCACAGCACTGCACACAGTGTCTCTGAAAAGAAGAAACAGTATCTTTTCTTTAAGAAACAAGTTTAGTTCGTGGAAGTGTGACGATTAGAAAAAGAATTTAAAAAAAGAAACATTGCTCTAAAAAAGATGACATATTGCCACAGCGTTGTGAGCAGTCTGCTGCTTTGCTCACCACTGTTGTCATGTTTATTGGCCCACCACAAAAAGGCGAAGGTGGGCTCAGTTTTTCCTTGTTTGTGTGTGGTTAAGTCTGTCTGTTAGCAAAATATCTCATGAACTACTGGATGAATTTTAATGAAACGTGTAAAGAGGAAGTCCATCTACGACTGATCTGACAATTCAAGATGGCTGCTTACTGACATTAAAGAACACAAAATGGTTTTAGCGCATGTGGCTGCCCAATCCGTACCGGAAGCATGATCCGTACGGTGCCGGAAACGTTGTTTTTAGCATGTAGCATTTCGCTAAACTGATGACAGAATTCATTCGATTTCAGTCTTTCATCACCTGCAATGTTTCATAGAAAAGGCAACGTTTGCAACAGCTGGGGATTTTTATTTCAGGAAAAAAAATAAATGAAGATAAGATGAGTTATAACATAATTGTCTAGAAAATAGTCTGCAAGTTATTATAAATAAACATGTACTAAATAATAAAAATAAATATAAACAAAAATGTAAATCTATATTTTATTAATCAAAATATATTCAATATTAAAACTGTTTTCAGAATATAATGTAACACACCTTTATAATTAAGTATAAAAATAAATATTTTCAGTATTTTTTCCTAAATCGAGCACATTCCAGAAGTCTATCATTTACCGCATGCGTAAATGAGCTGACAGTGCTACCGGGACGAATCGGGCAGCCACAGCGCAGTCAATTTTACAGATATTAACCAAAAATTTGTTGCAAATATTACTGAAGGTCATTCATAACAAACACTCCAGGTGTTACTTATTGAAAAACATCTTTATTTAATACTTTAAATGGGTTTTCATGAATTTTTAGGAAGGAGTTATTGGGTGTACAACATGCACCACAGCTAATCAATATTAGCTAACACAAAAATGTGTTTTTTGCAAGTAGTGAGTTCAAATATGATGAGGTAGTATGAGTCATATATGATGAGGTAGTTTGAGTCATTTACGACACATACTCTAAGAGTGACATCTTGCAATACTGAATAAAATCAAATTAAAGGGTGATTTCTGCAAAAAAACATCTTAAGTCTAAAACTGGCATGAAATACGGTGGACAATACACAGTCCTTCAACAATTGCTAGGCTTTTAATTCAATTTAATATAAGTATTTGTCCTATTTTTGTAAACCTACAATACCTTTTTCTCTTTTTAAAAGAAGACAATGTATGACTCATGGCCACAAGGTCTGCAATACGTTCAGTAAATTTCACTCTAATAAAAGCAGAACAGCAAATGAGTATAAAAACAACAACAAAAACAAATAATATTTCAAGTGCACTTTTTGTTAAACCAGATTTGCTTCGTCTACGTCCGAGTAAGATTTCTTAAAAAAACAAACAAACCGAAACAGGGGTTTGAATCCCGAAAACACGGAGGAGAAGGGAGTAATGCCACTCGGAACAACTTCAACAGATCAGTAACACTTCAACAAGTTGCTGACTCCTTCATTGTGTCGAGTGTGCACCAGCGAAAAACACCAAGTGTGCACACAGCGAGGAGGCTCCTGCATAGAAACATAATAGAACAATAGCCCCCGCTGACTTCAGATAAGGAGAGTAACAATTCATGGCCAAATAAACAGCTATGAAGCCTACAATAGTATCTCACAGCTGAATCAACAGTGTGTACAAGCAGCTATCGCCATCAGCTCTGGCTTTGATCACACGAGACTTGGCCGCTGCAAGAAAACAGTGTTTACAGAATTAGCAAAGTAAATGTCCAAGGCCCCCCAAAATAGCAAGCCCGATTAGAAGCAGCGAGGACGTCATTTAGTGGGAATGAGAAGTTAGTGCAAATGGGATTTTGTGTGAAGGAATGGTCAACAAATGTGGCCCTTTGGCATAGAAAAGTCCTGTCAGATTAAAAAGAAGGGAAAAAAAGAATTAAGAGTATTTCACGCCAGCAGAAGTCTACAGTAAACATAAAGCTGTTTTGGAGAAAAACAAGACCGGAGAGATGACAAACAGTCTGTTTTCACAACAGACGCTTTTGACTTAGAAGAAGGAACCACCATCCCTGTCATTAGTGGGTGACTTGTTTTAACTCCTGAACCACAACAGCTCCATGTTGTTGTTGTGCTTTGTAACATCATTACACATATAATACATATCAATCTGAATAAACATTTCCGGTTTGTCACTTCTTCACTTCTTGAACAGTTTACTCAAATAACTAAAGGATTACATGTTGTGTTGAACATCAAATGAAAAGAAATATTATCATACAGCATCTGGTATGAAAAACATTAAATATGAACTCCTATAATGTAAAAGGACACTTCTGACACTGTTAAAGACAAATGTGCAGTTTTACAGACATTGAGCTAAATTTTGACACATTAGTTGCTGCCAGTCAGTTACAGTTCTGAGATTCCTCAACATAAAATGATTTTTGTTTAAAACTCTGGTATGAACAGCTGCAGGGTATCTGTCTTCCTTCGAGGAATTTTAGGCCTTTAATAGTTAGAGGATTATTTATTTTTTGCTTTTTAGTTTTATTGTCAGAGGGTTTATTGCAATTCTAAGAAACAACAATTTGCTATCCATAACTTTACTGCGATGCAAAACTATGGCCAAGGCCAGATGCCAAGAAATAAGTTTCAACAAACCAAAGTTTTAGTTTATTTAATTTCTTTTTAAAGCTGAGATAGAAGAAACAACAAAAACAATTAATAGTATAATAATATAACTAAATAACATTTTCAAATTGACTGTAATTGTAAACATCAGTAAGCCATAGTTCTTGAATTGCAGTAATTATCTGGCGATGTGTTCCGGTGTGCTTTTTTAATCTTAAGAAACTCAGCAAAAGATTGTCACAAACCAGCAGTAATTCTGATCACCTGATGTCCCTCTCTGCACAAAACCTGACCCTACATCACCAAACAGTTGCTTTTTTTTTTCCTTTTTTTTTTTTTTTTTTTGCTGGCACAAAGAGAACCTACACAGTATTATTATTTGATGGTTTTAATGTTGTGCCTAATTGATTTAACAGCTTCTCTGTGTAAGTCCACAACATGTGTTCTACAAATGGCAGGGAATTATTACTGGAATACAGAAGCGGGAACTATTACCACTTCAGTCATTTTGGATTTTTCTCAGCACTGATGACAATGTGTCACACTGTCATCTATTTAATCACAGTGCAGATTTGGACAGTGCTGTGTTTGCTCATTCAGGGTTGAATTAAACCACCTGATTTGCTTCTCTGACTTGATTTTATTGATGATTTATTTATTGATTCAACTTCAAATGAATGCCAGCGCAGGGAAAGTGTATCTGAACAAATACAACGATTAGACTGAGACACGATAAAAGCCACGAGTTAAGACGGAGCTCTCAGAAGGATTTTCCATTCTCTATTCAGACTTCTCCCAAACAATCTTACGTGAACTGAAATCTGTGCACATTGAAAGCTGTTCAATGTCCTGAATTATTAACATGGTATGAAAGAGTGGCATTACGTAAGACTTTTATGTTTACAAGTGAAATGTTCAGTTTTCATTTTAAGTTCAGAGAAAGAAAACACGTTATTGGGCCCAGTGTCCCACATGTTTTAGGAGGGAAAATTAAGTCTATGAATGAGAAAATATTTATTTGAGGGGAAAAAAAGGCTGTTTTCAAATTGTTTAATATACACCTTGCATCAAACTGATCAAAAATGTTATTTTACTAGTGGATGATGAATAAATCATCAGTTTTCACTACAACCCTCTCATCAGTCAAGAAACATATAAGTTGTTGAGAAAAAGAACACAAACCAAAGTGTACGCAATATAATAATTGAAAGTAATGCTCAAAGAAAAGTTTGTTCTTGCAGCAAAAGATAAGCAGAACAGAAGGTTTTCTTAACAAAATGGATGAAAATAGTTTGTCAATAATGCCCCTTGTTGCACTATAAACGCATCTGCGTGCTCTAAGACGGGACATTCAAACCAACATCCAACACACCATCCAAATCCTGCAAACAAAATGGCTATCACAGAACCAACAGGAGAGCCAAATAAAGCACCTCCCTCTACTTGTGCAGTCTTCTGTCCATGCTGACACGTCACACAGCAGAGGAGAAATCACTCCACGTATCTTCCATCTGGCCACTTTGAAACACCTCAACTCTGACCAAAGCCGTAACTTGTGAAGAATCAAAACCACGTCAGGAATGGTCATCTGACATCAGGGTCAGTGAGGGTCGTCCTACGTGGAGTTTCTGGTTCTCTTGCAAGGCCTGGTACAAACAACAGCTGCAGGGTGCTCACGAACACTGACAGTCACAGGGACTCTGGCTCCACCCGTAACCACAATAAGTATGAAACCAAACGTGCTCTAAAGACCAAGCTTTGGTGGTCTATGTCTGATCAAACACCACTAGAAGCTGAATATGTTCAAGCGAATGTCATAGAATTTTGAAACAACATGTTGCTGAGTCAGAAAAGAAGACTTGAAGTCCACCTGCTTTCACAACTCTCAGAGCCGCATTTCAGCCATGACAGCCTGTCCGGTCATTGTGTACCGAGGACTTAGTGGGATGACATGGCCTGAATAGCTACAGGGTTGTGCTGGTCTAGGCATCTCACTGACCCTCTCCAGCCTTATAAGGGCTACCAGGGTAGTGGGGGGTGGGACAGCTGCACCTGTCATTTGAAAATAAACCGAAGGTGGAACAACTGCATAAAGAGGACGAGATTTAAGTAAGCAAGGTGTTTCTCTACCTGTAGATGTCAAATGGGGTTCTATTAAATATATTTTTTGAGCACATGGTCCAAACTGAAATTCTGCAGAGCCATTTCTCATTTCTCAATCATTTATTTAAAAGGAATAGTTCAGCTCTTTTGACCTCAGTTTGGAGAAACAAATGTTGACTGGGCTGATGAGCTAACAGCTAGTTCAAGCAAGACCAGGCCTAAAAGAATTAATGTCTACTTAAAAAAGTCAGATCTCAAATGCAGTATTTCCAAGTGTCTCATGTAAGTTATAATTGTGAACCCTTGCATTCCCATCAGTCTTATGTTACATGTTTAACACTGAATTCTACTGTTTTGACACACAAGCAGCGACAGAAGCAGCACTTCAGGTACAGACATGGGGCACTTCCTGCAGAAATACCACAATAATACTTTCAGAAACACAGTGTACAGCGAAAATAATAAAAATAATTCTGGAGTTTTTTTTTTTAAACAATCAGATTTTTAGGTCAGTAGCTATGTTTACATAACATAAGTAATCGGAATGAATGGCCAATTGGAATAAAAATGTGTCATGTAAACGTACCAATTGGAATATTCGGGTCTGATTCAGCTCGATTGGAATAAATTTGTAATCTGAATGAGAGCAGTGGTTTAAGCTGATTGATAATCCAATAGTCCTATGTCAACCTGACGTACTTCCGCCTGGCTAGATGCTAATATGTTGGGGAAATGGTCGGTTAGCGATACATTTCTGTTAGAAACTTTGAAAGAGCTCAAAATTATAGAACGCCTTGATGGTTGAAAGTGTAAGAACACGGAGTGTGTCTCCATCATTATTAAAACCTGGCATGGGTCCATTCTGTGCACACAAAACGTTTACGTTTACTACTCTGTGCATTTTAGTACTTCTAATCTGAATAAAAGCCTGGCGCATGTAAACACTCGTCACGATCGGATTAATTTGTGCCCATATAAACAATATATTCAGGTTATTTAATCCAAATACATTTTTATCTGATTAAAGAATTTTGTGCATATAAACATAGATAATTTGGCCGTGACTCCAGACTATAGCTTTTAAGTCAGCCACCCTGTCAGAACTAAACTCTGTTTCTCCAAATAAAGGTAACTTAGAAAATCGATATACAACAGTTAAGATATCATGTGTTCATAGCCTTTTCACAGAGCCCCACTTCAAAATTGGTGCTTCCATGTGCATTTCAAGAATTTCCTCTGTTGAGAGCCTTCTTGAGTTCTCTTTGCTTGCAATGAAAATAAAATCTCACCAACATGGAATCAGTCAGTGATAATGACAGCGATCTCGAAGCAGTCACAAATAGAAACTCATCCATCCAGCCCATGTGCTAAGCAGGAGGCCTATTGGACAGAGCTACAGAGAGCTAATGAATCTCTCCGGGAGGACTTACCCGCTGGGCTGGAGCCCGCACCACTTGGCACTGAAAGGTCTGTGGTATCCAGCATGCCACCTAATGAGATGCACAGAGTGATATGATTAACCATCTGCATCCTTCTGCAAGCTAGCAGAGCATGTGATGGAGATGCCAGACCAGACATGAGAATGTCAAACAGATCTGTCTTCACAGCCCATAAAAGGGTGTCATCAGTGTCCTCATGGCGGGGAAATTATAAAATATAGAAATTAAGAGGAAAACCTCCAACATGTTGTTTGTGATCTGTGTGCTTTTAGATACGGAGCTGGCAAGTGCAGCAATCCACTGCGAGGACACAGCTTTGGCAAACCGTTATTTATGCTCTTAGGAAAGCAGGTGTTCATCTGCGCTTTAGAACAGTTTACCATTTAGATGATTTCTAAGAGATGCGCACAAAACATAACACAATCATGCCATGTGAAATCAAAAGTTTATTCAGAATTTTTTTATCTAACATAACTTGGAGAGTAAATTCAGAAGTAACTAAAAAGAGGATAGAAAAAAAGCTACTCAGAAGAACAACCATTTAGCTAACCCCCTGTGAATGAGAAGGTGTCAGTCTGTTTTAATATGTGGTTAAATTTGAATGAGGTATTTTACACCTCGTGGCTTGTACCTGCATTGTATGCAGCGTAGCTGAATCTTGCAAAAGCCATCTGGACTGACTGAGTCAGTCCAGTCATACAAACACAAGTGCATCAGAGTTCAGTTTTCCACAAAGCTGGTACAGTTAAAATGTGCTATGAGGACCATTTTAAAGCGCAAGAAAATATAGATATATACCACACAAATGCTGGTTAAGCAATATTGGGGTGATGTGACTTGACATTATGTCCCTCACCCCTGAAGTCATTTTGATCTTAGACTCCAAACACTTTTTGCACAAAAGTCAAAGTGCTTCACATAAAATCAGTTGAGATGACAAAAACCAAAACAATTTAAATGAGGCTAGAGCTAACTGGTAGCCTGTGTAGCTTGAAATAAATCTGGCTTGCCACACGTCTCTAACTACCATGACATACTTCATTTATGACACAAACTGAAATTAAATAGAAATTAGAAGGTTTTTAAGCACCGTAAACATCCACATTTGCGCTTACCCTTTAGTTCCAGTGTTTATGTTAAGCTACTATTTAACACTTCCATCTTCTCAACTGAGTAAAAAGGTCAATAACTGTCTGATTTTGGCACAGGGGCAGTGTGTTTATATGTGTATTTATATATATGAATACACCACAGCAAATATTGTAAACCACCATCAGCAATTCATCCACCGCTTTGACAAATTGTCTGTCCACTAACCTGCACTGCCTGCACTTGTGGGCCTCTGAGAGCCTCCACCAGAGCCAACATTCCTGTGCAGAGAGGCCTGCGGAGGGGACAGCATCCCACTCTCACTCAGTGAGCCTGTGGCCGCTGCCAGGGCCTGGCTGCTCAGATTCCCTCCCGCCTGGTACATGGCATTCGGATTGGAGACTGGCACTGCCACATGCATGGAGAAGTTCTGCTGAGGCAATGCTGTGGGCTAGAGCAAAGAGACACACATACACAAATATTTACACACAACATACTTAAAACCCAAGATCTGGTGTGTCTGAGGAGCAAGTGGCTGTCATGGCATCAGAGAGTGCTCCTCCTGAGATTTACCTTTATTATTATAATAAATTACATCAAATGTCAGTAAGATCACAAAAAAAAAAAAAAAACACAGCAAAGAATGAATCTGCTACATTGTAATCTTTACAGAGTTAAAAACATTAAAAATCAATACAAAAGTATACATCTTATTTAGTGAATACATAATACACCTTCAATAACAAGTGGAAAACACAAAACAAATTGTACAAAAATCAATGTAAAATACAAAAACATGCATATATGTGATCACTTTGGCACTGCAGCAATCAGCACTTCAGAAGAACCTGTAAAAAGTACTAAGACGTGTTACCCAGCACAATCAAAACCAGAAGTTTGGGAGATTTAAAACTACAAGAATACAATCTCATTTGCATCTGCTTTCTAAGTGCTGACCGCGCAAAGCCAAAAGTGAAAACAAGGGATGGCATTTAGAGCATTTCATCACATCCAGTTAGGTGCGGTCATTAGTTTGTTAGAGGCAAAAAACAAACGAAGAAAAAAAAAGCAACTGTTTAGTGAGAAGGTGTTAGTGCACAAGTGGCAAATTTTCACATATAATGAGGAAAATAAAATTGTGAAATTTTTAATGATCGACTGCTTTATGAAGGTGCAGAAAGACGCAAAATAATATTAACATGGGATATTTTTTCTGACATACACAAAATACGTAACATGAACAAGAAACAGTCAAATAAATTATTTGTTTATTGTTATTTCCACAGCAGGAGGGTGGAAATCAAACATCCCACACCAAAGAATCTGCAGCTCTTTATAATAAATAATCGCACTTCTTGCAAAGTATTTATTGTGTTTTTATGTGGTAAAATAGTTAGAGGTCTTGAATTTATGGTAACCATACCCATGATAATAGGGTGTAATCTTTGTAGCAGAAGCATGCAACATTTCATCTGTTAATGAAAGGAGATTTTATAAAGGGCGTGCCAAAATAGCATCTGCAAAACAAATCAACAAGAAACAAATGGAAACCCGTTAAAGGGGCATTAATCATAACGTGGTGTAGCTCTAAGAGAAGTTAACAAAGGGTTGTGGAGGGTAACGTAAGAATAAAAAAGTTAAATCAACAAAAAAAAGGAAATATTTCAAAAGAAGAAAATCCTTTTGTGCCACAAAGCCAAGCAAGAACATTGCATTTACAGTACTTACGATTTTATGATTTCTCATCATATTATCAAACTCCTCATTAATTTTTTTATACTTTTCTTCTGTGTGAGGAGTGAGGACATATGAGGCATCGGGGTCCGGGCTATCACAACCTCTGTGCTCTTTCTTGTTTAGCGCCTGTGGTGAACATCAACATAAAGACACAAATCAACACAAAATGGCAGGGGACAATAAAAAGTACTTACACCGCAGCGCTTGTACATTAAATCACTGTCTTCGCCTAGTTTGCCGTAATGGTCATCCATGAGGGGGCTGTGCCCAAAACAGTCATCGGGATCAGGACTAGCACAGTCATTATGGCCCTTGTTTCTCAATTTCTGAAATGAAATTGCACAGTTGAGAAGGCACAGTATGCAAAATGTGGCTTTAATTACTTAGTTATTACTGCTTTATCACCTAAGACTGCGCAAAAATCTTAATGGCATAGTCTGGTCACGTTTGAAGTAATGTTTTGTCAAATAGTTATCTATAGTTAGTACCTTATCAGCTGTGACATCAGTCACAGAGCAAAGGTTTTCCACCAGGATGGGCTAATGGCTAAGCTAAACAAGAGCCTGTTTGCTTTTATTGTTTTACAGAAACTTTTAAAAAGCATTTATTTACAAAAAAAGATCAGTTTTATAAGCTTGAACAAGTTTTTAAAAAAGCCCTCATTTGACATAGTCTAGCCCGCACAAAAACCTCTGCCCTTTTCCTTGTTCATTGCGCTCCTTGACTGATTTTACAGCTGAAAAGTACCATTCATTACTATTTGACAAAACATCACTTCAAAAACGGCCAGACCATCCCTGAAGACTTTCATGCTCTTAAAGAGATGTTTAATCTGACCTAAAAAGTAGTAAAACAAACATACAGTGAGAGTCATGAAGCACACAAGTGCTGCAACAGATGGTGTGACACCCACAGAGGCCTTATCAACATTACAGAGCCAGTCAGGGATTGCATGAGGATGCAGACTTAGCCTGAAACCACAGAAGAAATGTAGCAAGCTGTCTAAGACACGTGCAACAGCCCACCAGCACAGAACCTTCAGTAAAATTAATTTTAAAGGTTGCACACGGTGATTGGTTAATTTTAGTTTTCTGCACTTTGATGTTGCTCCTCTTCACATCTAAACTTGCACCTAAAACATCGGTACAATTAATCTTGTCTTCCTCCTTTTTCTTATCGAACATCTTTACGTATTAGACAAATTTATTTTATTTGTGTATACTTTTCATTACATTTCAGTTATGAGCCGTTCATCTTGAGGATGGAGGACTCAGGTTTTAGTATCTGATTAGCATGTCATAGAAACAAAAAGCTTGGTATTTCAATAAGTCTTTCCTAACTTTAAGGGGGGAAGAAACTAAACTAAAATGCCCCAATCCTGGACTTCTTTACTCCCTCTTTCTACAGGCTGTTCTCTGCTCCTCATTACAGCTCTGAAAAGCAGTGTTAACAAGACTTGCTGACAGCATGTGACAGCTTGTGATATCAAGGAAGTGTACATCAAAACATGATTTATGTGTGGCTCTCAAGACTCCTCTATCAGGCAGCTGCAGGTCCACAGCAGCGCCCTGCCCTGTCTGTGGGTCGCCTCGGAGGCCTCGTTTCTACAGGAAGGTCACTGACTCCTGTGGATGCGGGGGGGTCAGAGTGTGAGCCGGAGAAGAGGAACCGACACACATTAATGAGACCCTAGTCTGGTGTTTCTGGTCCTCGTCATCCTGCAGAGTGGAAGTTGTGTCTGTGTGTGTGCGACCAATAGAGAAAGAGAAACTGTACGAAGCGGGGACCATGTGGTGCACATGTGCGATGTCTGCATGCTGTATGCATGTGTGGGAAGCAGAGGGAAGAGTGGGGGTACTTCTACAGCTGCTGCATCCTCTGACAGCAATGTGACAGTACGCTAAGGTTGATGAAGACAATGCGGCTAACCCAGCACGCCTCACCACAACCTCAGTTTGAGCTGCATTTCCTAAAACGTGCACATTAAACTCCTGCACGAATCCTCGTTAAGAGCAGATGATGCTAAATGTCTAACTGCTCATTTTGTCCCCACTTGTTCGTGAGCATTCATATTTTATTTTATTTATTTTTTTTTTTTTACGAGAGCGCATTCTGAGGCACGATAAACAATCTTAATATGCATGGTGCACACAGAAAGGAAGTTCAGAAAAACACCCACATAATTGTCCACAATGCCCAGAGGGGAGCAAGAGAAAGAGAGAAGCCCTCTGGATAATGAATGACCATTGCTGTACCACAGATGCATTACTGTTTGGTGTGGTACAGAGCAGAGGCATTCTTCTCATTCTAAGAAAACGCCTTGCTGGTTCATTTCCTGTTTACTATAACAACCCTCTTTAGTTAGGGTCCTGAAAGGCCTGTGTTTACTTGGGTTAAAACTATGCACTTTCACCACCGCCGAGCCACAGATCTGATCTCAACCTGCAAATTTAGGCCTCCGACCTGCTCATTATGGGAATATCTTGGTTGGACTGGTTGGGCATGGCTAAGTGAGACGGGCAGGGCTGCTCTGCTTTCACAAGAAGCCTGGCCAGCCTTCAGCACGCCGCACCCATTGGCTCGAGCCATTTAGGGAGGTGTTGTAGTCGAGCTGTGAGTGAGCAGCGACCAAACGGCAGCACTCAAGGGCAGACAGAACTTAGACCTGTTCTATAATACATAAAGCGAGTCAATACTTTATATATTATCTTTTAAAAGTCATCTGGAAGGTGTTGAAGTCTAGAGAAAAGCATGGATGTAATGCTTTACTCAGATGACTTGGCGTGTTTCGGGTGCCTCACAGACGCTCTCGACAGCTTCCAGTAAACGGATCACTAAACAAGGACATGGCCAAACAGGTGCACCTCTTCCAAAACACCTGTCAAGACCTGTCTCCTAGTGCTGGCCAATCACTAGCCACCCTGCAGAGATATGACCATAGCAGGGGGGCAGCCCTGACGCCCACCCTTTACCGCAGAACAGTCCTGTTTTCACAAGTCAGTGCTAACTCCTCCAGACACTACAAAATGAAAAGCTTCCCTTTCATTCACATCAAGAAAGAATCTTTAAAATGCTTTTTTAAATGTTGAATCACTCAGCGGGGTTTGTAGTTGGGAAAGCACAGCTGACCAGACATGAATGCAGCTCAGCCTGGGACATTGAGTGACCAATCTAGGACATATATAAGCTGTTTGGAGCAGGAAAGAGACACAGAGAAGACAAAAAAAAATGAATAAATAAAACTTGGGTCATCTTTTCACATGGGCCTGAGAGCCTCATAAAGATGAGTGGGTACAAGGCCTGCTTGTATTTACTCAGAGAAGAGCAAAACCTGTACTGAGAAATAAATTCGTCTCTTTTTAATAATAATAAAAAATGCTCATATACTGGACTCTATTGTCCAGTATACTACTCTATTGAGTGTATCAGTGTGGGTCAATCAGTTTGCTGATGTGATATTTCAACTTGGCACAGAAAAAATCTTTTATTTCTATTGTAGGAGACCTTGGAGCTTTCTTATCCAGAAGAAAACATCCTTCTCGCATCTACATTTAAGCCCTGGTTAATAACCTTGCTGTTACCATGGGAAACATTCGGCACAGTAATTGCCTCCTTAGGTTTGCAGTTTAGGTTCAGGACAAGAGGCTACAGAGCAGTGAAAGGCAGCCTTGCGTTTCATCCAGGTTTTACATTAAGATAAATGACTTCCTTTACACAATGACCCTAATCAATTAGGATAGTTTGTATGTGTCATCTGGTGTTACATTTTACACTTTAATGCTCAGTTCGAAGCCTTACTAGAAATGGGTGTGAGCAGTTTACTCTATTGCTAGAAAACCAGTTCACCCTGATGTTTTTCCTCTTGTGTATCAGGAGAGCTTTTTGTGTTTCACTTATTCATGTACCGTAATATATGGTAGATGAATAAAAGGCAGAGTGAAAGCAGACTTTAAAGCTGAGGTTCAAATTTGTAGAGGAGAAAAAAAGGGCATGAAGGGGCTTTTCAAGCATGTCTGCAAAAAGATATATTTAGAGAAATGTTTCAGATCTTTTTAAGTGAGGTTCTCCGAAAGGTTATGAACAATTAATATCTTGTTGTAAATAGCTCTTCGAGAAACAGTTTATTTTTTCAGACTAGCCATTAGCTTGTGAAGTTTGTCAGTATTAAAGGGGGCTTAACATGCAAAATCCACTTTTTTAGTCATTAAATGTATTTTGTTGTGTACTTGGAGTCTCTAGGAGTACATTTGAATTTAGTTTCTCCTGGTGCTGTGTAGATATCTTTATATTCTCCTTACGTCATATTTTTCAACCCATTCAATTTGACATCTTTTTTTTTAGTTTGTAAATAAAGTGTCTGCGCCACTATATAGTTGTAAACCCCTCTATCATACAGGAATGAACCGCTCTGGAAGGTGGAAGGAGGCGGGATGTGAAGCGCCTTGTTTGGATTTAAAGAAACAGTCTCAAAACGAGTTGATCTGAGGTGCACCTCAGAAAAGGGGTGAAAGAGGGGCTTGTGGAGTTACAATAAGGAGGACTTCAGACCAAAGCATTGCAGTTCCACTTTATATAGCCCCCAACTAAATGATTTAAATGTGAAAAGTGGATTTAAAAAGAAAATATGTCTCATTTAAACTTTTTTTTCAAACTGTGGTCATTCAAAGACCTATTAACAACAGATAATACATGTTCATAACCTTTCTCATCTAATATCAACGCATTTCCTTGCCTCAGGTAGAAGCTTTCTTCATAGCAAAACAACCTGTAGTGAAGCAGAGTGGTGTAAATCATTAATATTTTATCCATGCAGTGTTTCCTCCAGCCTCCTCTTAAGTACGAAGAGGCTGTATTTTAACCAGTTGCTGTGCAGTGGCCAGCCTTCACCTCATTTCCCCTTGCCCTTCTGGCTCTGCAGTGCTGTGAATTAGCCCTTATGCCTGCGCCTGCACTGAGCAAGGTAGCGTGTTAATCCTTATGACATCACCATTGTGTCCAGGCTGTTCCACATAATGTGCTTATCAAAGGGCTTCTTTGAGAGTAAACGCGCTACGAAATCATCATGGGGAGGTGGCTGATAGGAAAGCTTTTATCTGCTGAGGAATATTTCTGCTCTTACATAACATCTTAAGAGACTTTTACTACCGTCGTGTC